AAATCATTGTTGTTTCTACTTATAGATGTTGCCATGCGTATGCGCGCAGGATTGAATCTCAACTCGAAGAATTTCGAATAGAAATGGAAAGAATACGATCGCGCTCGGACGCGATTCTAGATATGCTCGGTATACTTCACTCTGTAGACATGAACTAAGGAAACTGATACGATTCTAAATAAGTGCTTTTTCCTTGTACAAATTACTATGTTAATTTCTTTAAGACGATATTTGCACTATCATCAAAGGTTCTTATTTACTCACTTCTACTTCATTACACATTAAAAAATACGTGATCAATTTATTAAAATAAAATACATGAATAAAAAATGCTACATTGTATCAGACGCATCATTCGTACTATAATGATTCAATTTTTGCGACATAGAAAAATACGACAAATGAGTTTATATCGTACAAATATTTACTATTTTTTAATAGATTTAATTTATCTATAGTTGGATGAATAAATTTACGTAAAGAAACTAGAAAATTTGTTACATTTTAAAATGACGGATATTTCACGTGTAATTTAAACGAGTTACCGAGAGTTTTTCGGATAGTTAAAATTTAAATTATATATCGATAAAATATTAATTCTTATTAATAATTGCAGTCGCAGGAATCGAATCCTGTTCCAGCCTCTCCGGGTAAAACACCAGGTGGTATTTCTCCTTGTCCTTTGAAAATATTACTATAAGATGTTTTCAAGTAATTTACATGACCTTGTAATGATCTTATCCGTCCTTGCGCTTGTTCAAATGCCTCGTTTAGGTTATTTATCTGACCTTGCATTTTTTGTCTAATCTATAAGTAATAAAATAATATTCGAGTAATTTAATTGACATCTAAATAGAATAGTTATTTTTGTTTTTTTTTTTATAATGAATTACTTCGTCTCTATCTTTTTGCGCGGCTCTTGCAGTAGCTCTACATTGAGCCAATTGTCTTTCCATTTCTGCAATTTGACCTTGCATGGATCTTCTTATAGTTTCGCATCTCTCTTTCGTTCTTGCAACTTGTCTCGCAGAATCTTCTCGAACCTTTAATTAATCATTTTAATTATCGTGTATTTTGCGATAAAACATATACGATGATAATATACCTGTTCGAGCATTGCCGTCAATTGTGTAACTTCATGCATTTTTTCATCGATTCGTTTTTGCAATTGCGCCTCGTGTTCTTCGAATCTTGCGAGCGTATTTTTCATACGTTCATTTTCATGTCGTAGTTCTGTATTTTTTCTTTCTAATTCCTCGAATCGTCCAGAACCATGACCTCTTTCATCCTGCGTATCGAGCGTCGGTTTATATAACTTATGATTTTTTAGTAGATTAGGATTCTTGCAAAAAAAAATATAAAAACATTAACCTGCATTGCTTGATGCTCGCTACGTAAAACGTCCAATTGATTTTGCAAAGTTTGAATTTTATCTTTACAGCCTATAACTTCTCGTGAAAGATCTTCGCAATTACGTTCTGCAACTAAACGCATCTGTTGAGCTTCTTGCAACTTTACTTGCGTTTGTTTTAGAATATCGGGCAAAGGTGCAAGTTCTGCAAGCTTTTCTTGAAATTGATTCTATTCGATGATAAAATAGAAGATAATAAAATATAAATATACGTATTAAAAATCATATACACGTTATATACGTACCTTAACTCTTCCTATTTCCAAGGTTACATTTTCATTCATTCGTGCATTGTCCATCTCCATTAGATCAAGCTGTCGGCGTTGTTCTTCTACTTGTTGTTGCGCCTATTGTTTATATTTATCAATGTTTTTCATTAATATTTATTATATCACGCTATAGGAATTGAAGGATGAATGTTACGAATAAAACCTGTAAATATTTATTTCTGTAATCTTCTAACTGAGCGGCTTGATCTTGAATCAAGGATCGTAATTCTTCAAGTTCGTCCTGCGCTTCTCGAAAACGTTGCTTAAAAACGATCAATGTTTGTTCTTGCTCGACCATTTGTTCCTTAAATCCTATTACGAAAAAAAAATAATTCTAATTATATTTTTATAAAAGAAATTTGTTTGAATTAAAGTACATTCCAAATAATCACCTTCAAATTTTTCTTTTTCGATTTCCATCGCTTTCAAACGTTCTTGAGCGTCTATCAATTTGATATCTAATTTTTCTTTTTCTTCGATTGCATCACGGGCTTGCTGTTTCAATTTGTCGGCATCTGTTCTTAAACACGAAACCTCGCATAATTTGTTTTTGTAATCATCTTGTAGACGTGCGTATTGTTCGCGTAGGTCACGTAACTGTTGCTGAGGACATGTGCTAGCGCCCTTTTTTTAAATAGCTGCTTTAGTTCGTGTTGAATCTTTTTCGGAAATTCAGTCTTACCATAGGAGCACTTATGCAAGGACCAGTACAGGTTGCAGGAGCAGGTGGCATCTGCATACGACGAAAAACGATCTTATATGATATGCGGTATATCACACTTAATAAAAATAAAAAATCTGAAACTTATATAAAAATGTATATTTATTTGATTCAAAATTATTTATGATATTTCAAGAATTTTACCGATATATATATATATANGAAATATTAAATAAATACCTTAGGAAGAGGTATAGAAGATGGTTGTATAACAGAAGGTTGTATAGCAGGTACAGGAGGTACGTATGGAGTTGTGTTTGAAGGTTGAAGATTCAAAGGTGGAGGAGGACAACAACCACAAGGTGCACAAGGACCGGTACATTTCAATAATTTGCGTTGTTGTTCCAATTGTTGACGTTCTCGTTGAACATTGGCAAGCTCTATTTGCATATTGCGTACTTCGCATTCCATACTGCCCAATTGTTGCTCCTATAAAAAATTATAAATAAATAAAAACAGAAATTAAGTTAAAATTTAACTATAATTTGAAGCTGTACTAGCTGTTTGGTACTGTTCCCATAGGCGGCAAGTTTATTCTCTATTTCCGCTGGACATGTCCCCCTTGAAGGTGGTGGTCCTGTACATGGTGTTTTAACTGTGGCAGGACTTCGGCAGCACATGTCGGTTTGCGAAGAAGCACCACTTGTAACGCAAGGACCTGATGCGCCTCCCGCGAGTCTACGTGAATCTAAAAATATTAATATTAAAATTAATTTTTAATAAAAAATTTAATAAAAATTTATTACATTGTAATGAAAATATAATTTACCTCCGCTAGGTAAATATGTCTGACTCTCGGGTTTTACTGAAACGTATAATTTCATTTTTATCTACTTGATTAAAATTATTGAAAGAAAAGATTGATAACTTTATCAAAATATATATATATATATATAT